ACGATTAACAAATGGAGTTGAGTGACTACATGGCCAACTTAGGAGGCTATGATTTTTAAAAATTAGCTTTGTTAGGAAAAGCATCTGTTCTCTCTTTGTGGAATGGACAAGAGTATTTTTATCCAACATTAACCTTAATACATCAAGAGTAATCACAAAGATGCCTTTTCCAATTCACATCGGTAAATGATGAATGAGAATTACTATTTGGCCAGCACTTTATACTAAATAGAGTCCAGGAATAATTGGCCATTGAAATTTTCTCTTAAATCAGACAAACAATCCTTCAAATATAAAATTAATCATTTCATTGATATCAACCTTCAATCCTTACTCCATTAAATCCCTAAATTCGTGCTAGGGAAGGCATAGCAAGCAAATTAAAATAGGATTCTTATAAATGAAAAAGATAAAATTGTGTCTTCTGAAGATGCAATTTAATCATAATAAATTATTTTCAATATTCTTTTTTCAATGAGGCATTGCAATGACCATAAAATGAAATATAAAAGGGCACCTGGTTGAGAAACTGAGTTACAAAGAGCCCACTGCACTCTCGAACGGTTATACCTGCAATAATTTGCTTCATAAATTTTTATGTTGCATTTTACATTTTTTAAGAAAGTGAGTATTCCCAACAGTGTCATAATTAGAATTATGACAGTGTGAGAGCAAGTAAAGGAAATTATATTTGATCTCTAGGTAGTATTTAGCTAAGTAGTTTTAAATAGGAATTTGTTGCTTTGTTGAAGATAGATTAGAGTCAACATAGAAGATGCTCCTTGAATGGAAAACTCATGCTCTCAAATGGTCTGCACCCCAAACCACTGCTGCCCAGAAGAGCTAAGTGTCAATTAAGAAGAGCTGGGAAACGGAGATGATTTGCCTATGAGATTTATGGAGTATTTATTGAAATAAAGGGTCTGACTCTTCAAATTTTAAATGTTAATATGCATTGTATAGTAGGCCCTTCTTCCAGACGTTTTATTTTCAGTGCTTTATCTCTTTTGGTTGAGAAGTCAAAGCTCACACTAAGAGATATCCTCTCAAGGCAGATTCTGCACTTAACAAGCCCACTTATCCCCCTTTCTGTGCAGAATCAATTTCTCTACTGACTGTGCCATGGCCTTATTTTCCTGAAAAACATGATGGCACTGACTTATTTGTCAAGATTCAGGTAGTTTTCAGAAAGGAAGTCCTCCCTTCTCACTTGAGCACAAACATGACTCTGGGAAGCCTTTTCTCAACACTGTGGATCACTGAGGACAGTACCTGGCACATTGTTGTTGTTGTTATGTGCCGTCAAGTTGGCCCCGACTCATAGCGACCCCTCCTTGGGTTTCCGAGGCAGTATCACTACGGAAGTAGGATTGCCCAACCTTCCTTCCGAGGAGTGGCTGGTGGGTTTGAACCGCCAGCCTTCTGGTTAGCAGTCAAGTGCTTTAGCCATTATGCTACCAGAGCTCCTCCTGGCACATTACAGGTGCTCAATAAATGATAATCCTTTATTGGACTGATAAAGAAAGCAATGATAGTTGCTTTAGTTCAATATATGTGGCTATATAATGGGTCCTGGGCTACAAAGGAACAGCAGGGGCGAGTGTTCTGTTCACACCTGTAAGTGGGAGACCATGGCTTTCTGCAACCAGCAAATCTATTGGAAGAAATAACTGGAGAATAAACAAAGAGTTAGGAGCTACATGTACAGGACAGGATGGCAATTTTATCCCTTGCCCAGTCTATTGTTAAAGGAAAAACACTTTGAAACAGCAACTGGCTTATGTTGATTGTAGGCACTTATCCTATTTTCCTGTTAGGAGCTGTTTCACCCTCTCTTAGTGATAAAAAATAATTGAAGTCTTTGTCATGGAATTACAGTGGATCTGGAACTTTTCTAAGTCGATCATGGATGTCATTCTATGTGGCCCCAGGTATACAAGCTGGGGTATACCAAGGGACTTTGGGGAGGTAAGAGAGTGAAATCCTATCCTCTTCTTCCTGTGCTTTACTGAGATCCATTTCAACTGATCACTATTAACCAGGATAGCCCCAACCAAGATTATCATTGGAGAAAGCCATTACCCTAAGAGTAAAATTCATCAGGAGAACATGGGATACATAGACTGTCTCACCTGGACAGCTCAAAGACTTGGAGTTTCTAGAAGAGGGCAGTTGGGGGCCAACATGAGGCTAATACGGTAATTTCTTTGGAAGGAACCACCTTGGCACAATTGGACTTGGATGGAAATAAGTAGAAAATGTTATAATGCATTGAAGAGCCTTACTTGGAAATCCCAGCCTGCAGCAGCCATTGACAAACTTAGCTTTGGGGGAGAATTGTCTTCACTAGTAAGCTTGTTCAGAGATCTGTACCAATGAAGTTCTTCTTCTGGCAGTGGACCGAAATAGTCTATCAGGCCAAGAAGGACCACAGATACCACGTGACCATAAGAAACAAATAATAGTGATTAGTTCACTATTATGATTAGTTCACCCCCTTCTATTCTACTGCTTAGCATGTGAAACTGACTGACTGCCTTTGGACTTTAAGTACCCAGGATTTTTAGAGGATTCAAAATATATAGGAACCTCAAATGGTAGAATGGGGGTCGCCTGCTAATAAGGTTTATGAGGGTTGGAACAACTGATTAAGAAAAATATTAAAGGAGTGACCATGGTTTATGATTTTGAAACAAAACACACTTATTAGAAATCTTATGTATATTCAAATGCCTACCGAACATCTTCTGAATGTCTCCAAGCACATCAAACATAACAAGCCTGCAGGTCATCTTCTCCTCAAACCCAAAATTTACTTTTTCTCCCTCATTCTCCATCTCCATTCTCTTCTTCCACATCATCTTCTTAGTAACCTGGAACAGAAAGCCTAGAGTCATTCTAAATGTTTCTTTCTGTATTGCATCTCACATGCTTGAATTGCCAATCCTAGATGCTTTTAGCCTTAAAAGTAACTCAGATCCATTCTTTCTACTCCATATCTGTGACTATTGCCACAGTGAAATCCACGTGAGGTGTTGGTGAGACCATTGCCATTGTCTCCTAAGGGCAATTCTAGATATCTAGGCTGGCACACTCCATTCCACTTTCTAGTTTGCTACCAGTTGGTTTCATACTTTGGTAGAAAGAAATAGAAAATGGCCATGTGGACTTTCAATTGCTTAACTAACCTTTTTTTCTTTCCCGGGATGAAGTCCCAAATCCTTAGCACAGTCCATAAGTCCTTTTATGAGCTGACCTTTGCCTACTTCTTACCATTCAGGAAGACTCTTTCAGAAAGAACTAAATTTATTCTTTTTTTTTTTTTTGCAAAAACCCCAGGAGCCAGTATGGTGTTCTGTATGTAGTAAGTCCTCCAATATTTGTTAAAATTGAATTGAGTCAATTTGTTTGTATGGAAAACAATACTTGAAAAGCTGAATCTTTACCGTATTCAAGCCCATTCTGTAATAATCATCTTTGGTGCCAATTCTGGCCTGTGATGTAGTTTTACTTACCCTCAAGAAAGTCTCCTCATGTCTCCTCTCTCCCTGTTGGTGAAGATTATACCTGCTGCTACTTTATTCCAGCAAGTGGATAACCTTCTGGCTTGTTTTTGTGCTGAGTGACCCTTTTGACAGACCCTGTGGCTCTGACCCTTTAAACAGTAGAAGTATCCTGGCGTTTTTACTCGGCAGTAGATCGTGGTATTTAGAAAACTCTTCTTAGAGCACCTTTGATTCTCCAGGGATGCCCATAATAAATATTTGCATTATTAAAAGAGTTAGGAACACAGTATAAAAAATGAGTACACAAGGAAGTCACCATTTGGCTTTTGATTATATCTACCCAGATGAAAAATGAATGAATATGCAATGAATAATAAATGGCCTTGTGTTCTTGTTTTAATTTTAACTCATCAGAGGATGATAAAATTAAAGTGGCTCCAACTTTTGCTTTGCTGTTTCATTAAAGGCAGAGAGTGACCCTCGTGTAGCTGATCATAAAACGCAACTTCATAAAACATAATATCCTACTATGTGTATTGCCACTTATTACCTATTAATTTTGTGTAAGTTGTTTATTCTCAATTAGCTCCAGTTTCCTCATTTATAAATAGGAATAATAATAATGTGTGTATTATAGATTTATCGACGGTATTAAATGAAATAACTGATGTATAGAAACCACCAATTATGAATTAGTATGACAATTTTATTTGCCTCTCCACGTCAGGAGATCAGCAGTATAATATTTTTCCCCCTAATTTTAATGATGAAGCACTCTTTTTTCTTGCAGAATTAAAATAATCTACCATAAGTGCTTCCAAAAACTGAAACCAACTCACTGTCATGAACTTGATTCTGATTCATAGGGACCCCCCATTGGTTTTCCAAGGCCGTAAATCTTTAGGCAGCAGACTGCCTCATCTTTCTTCCACAGAGCAGCTTGTGAGTTCGAACCACTGACCTTATGGTTAGCAGCCCAATGCCTTTATCAGTACACAACCAGAGCTCCCTACCATAAGCACTTGTTGTTGTTGTTATGTGTGTCAAGTCGTCCCTGAATCATAGCCGACCCCTCCTTGGGTTGCCAAGGCAGTATCACTACAGAAGTAGATTGCCCAACCTTCCTTCTGAGGAGTGGCTGGTGAGTTTGAACCACCAGCCTTCTGGTTAGCAGTCAAGTGCTTTAGGCACTACGCTACCAGAGCTCCTCCATAAGCACTTAGTTCTTCTAAATCCAACTATTGTTGTTGGTGGTGCTAGCTGCCATCCAGTTGGCTCCTTGACTCATGGTGACCCCATGGACAATAGACTTAAATGCTGCCTGGTCCCGCCTCCTGCCCATGATTGATTGTGGATCAGACTATTGTGATCCTAGAGTTTTTTTTTTTCTTTTTCTCCTAGTCCATTTGAATCTGGAAGCTCCACTGAAACCTGTGTAGCATCATAGCAACACACAAGGCTCCACTGACAGGTGGGTGGTGGCTGTTCATCAAGTGCATAGGCCAGGAATTGAACCCAGGTCCCCCACATGGGAGGAGAGAGTTCTACCACTGAACCACCTACGCCGCAGTCCACCTATAGATTATTTATTTATTTTTAAAATCGAGAACCAGGAGGGGGGTTGAAATGCTCTTTACAGAATGCATAGATTCTGACCTATAGGGAAAAACAAAAGGTATGGCTGTGGCAGTTAATATTTCTAATGATGCCTTTAGAAATGAGGATTTGGGGGATTTCTTAGTGGATTTAAAAGGAAACTAGCTCAATTTGTTGAAGGAAGGTATATATAATGTTGTTGAAAATGTTCTGGTTTTCTCTCCCCTCCTCTCACACTCCTTAAACATTCAGAGACACAGCATAATAACTTTTATATTGTTTATTGCTAATGTTATTATTATGGTGATGTTAACAGAGAAATAGTCTCTAAGTCATTAGCCCTCTCTTAGAGGATGGTGCTAATGTCAGGGTGCCCATAGATGAGGTGCAGTCAAGACCCCCAGAAGAGCAATGCCTTCTCTTACCCAAATATAAAGGAAGCCTCTTACCCAGAAAAGGAAAACCTTTCAGTTGCTTCTGCAATGGCCAGATTTCAGGAGGAATACATTTGTTTTTCTCTGCATATGGAAACTCTTATCTTTTTATGAGAAGCTATTTAGTCATTTTTCAGATGAAAATTAAAATGTTGTAGACATTCTCTCAAAAGGGCCATAAGGCCACATTCCTCAAGCAAGTAAATTCCAGCATTAGGATTGGGTGGCCAGGGTCTGAAAAGGAATAATTAGTTCAGTGCATTGGAGTAATTAGTTCTCAGCACAGTGAAGAACTTGTGCGTCAGAAAATAGAAACGGATGAAAGAAGGAAGAGAGGAGAGGAAAAGAAGGGCGAGGAGGAGAGAAAGCGAGAAGAGCAGGGGCGAGGAGCGGAGGCAGGTTACAAAACGGAGGGAATTTTTATTGAGAAAACCATTGGGAAAAACAATGCTAGCTTGCCTCTAATTAGTGTGAAAAAAAAAAAAAAACATGATGAAGCGAACCTTTTTTTATTATCATTTTTGAAAACAGAAGACAGTACTGTTTGAAATTGGAACTGTTTACAAGATAAACTGAATTACATGTGAACAACACTATCAATGTTCCAACACCCAGTTGTGCACTGTATTGTGTATCCACTTAAGAAAAACTGGCTCCAATTAGGGATCTCCTGTCGAGCGTCTTATTTATCAGCTTCCAGAACAGCTGTGAGCCATTCGGGATGCCACCAGTTTTTCCTCATTACACTCTCCTTAGAATTACAGATGTGCCTGGCTCATCCCTGGGGAGCCACATTCTCGTAAACACATCCTTCTCCGTTGCTGGGCCTCCGCTGAAATAAGCTTGTGAACACAGGCTGACATGGTCAGTTGAAGTTGGCTTAAGAGACTTAAGGCTGTAAATACCTCCTGTAATTTCTTGGGAAAGGAAAGCTAGACAATGAAAGGGATTTAGGATGTGTGGAGGAAGGAAGGGAGCTGGTGAAAGTAACACATTTTTATTTTTAATCAGCTTTACCAAACAAGTTGAATTGGCCATTTGTGTCTGAGATGCCACCGCTGGAAGCTCACATTATTGTCACCCATTTAATCAGAGATTAGGTAAAGAGTCTGAGGTGAGTACAGGCAGTCCTCAGGTTACACACGTCTGATTTATGCACAACCTGTAACTATGAACCAACTCCTGTAATGCCTATTATATTAAAAATTTTAGTTACATAGAATGGTTTGTAATAATAAATGGATGCTACGCTGTGACCCAAACATTATTCTTATTACTGTATTATTATGTTAAAGATATTTAAGATATCTGGAAGTGTTTCTTTAATGTTTTTATGCATATATATGCACATATGTATATATATACACACACACACATATATA